GACACAGCCCCACACACGCGACACACACAGAAAGAGACAGAGCTCCAGACACAGAGCGAGCGCGACAGCGCGACCCACACAGAGAGCGACCTCGACACAGCCACACACAGAGCCCCAGACACAGAGAGAGCGACACACAGCCCCACACACGCAGAGAGCGGGACACGCAGAGCGACACAGCCCCACACACGCAGAGAGCATGACATGGCCCTACACATGCAGCCCCACACAGAGCCCCACACGGCCCCACACACGCAGAGAGCATGACACACGCAGAGCACGCGACAGCCCCCCACACACAGACACAGAGACCCCTCCCCCACACACAGAAGAGAGCAACACAGTCACAGAGCGTCACAGCCATGCACTGAGGGTGACACGCACAGAACCGTGTGGCCACACACATGCACGGCCCCAGAGAGCGACACAACCACAGCCACACGCACAGCCCCAGATGCACGCAAGGGGCATGAGAGGCAGCCAGAGAGACCCAGAGGGAGAGCGACGCAGCGCATGAGCCAGACAGAGACCAAAGACTTATTTTGCATCATTCACCTCTTCTGAACCACTGTCTGATGAAATTGTCTTTTGTTGCTGTTGCTTCTTGAGTACTGCTGATCTCTGCACGGCAAGTATGCTTGGACTGGACTTCCGAAACTGGGCCAGAATTCAGATACAGTCATTTAAAAATACTGGAACTTTTAAAGTTTCACACACATACACTGCTTAAGATGCACAGCATTGCTAGCCAGACTGACCTCAATTTTACCAATAATAAAAATTAACCATAAAATACTGCATGCATTAATAATATTTGATAGCAGCTTAAAGCAGCAAGATGCCTGCACAGCAGAACACTACATAAGAATTGCCAGCACATTTCTTACTGCAAACAATCATTTATTATTAAAGTAAAATATTTTCAAAATAAGAAGTTAAACCAGTCCAGATAAATCCTTTTAGGTCACACAACTGATACAGTCTTCCAGCAATTTTGCTTCACATGAGAACAGTGAAGTACATGAGCAAAAACACAAGTAGTTCAGGTAATTTAGATACAGTGGATTCAAGAGGATTTCTAAACAATATTTTCTTCCTAAATTTAGCATACTTCTGCCATACAGAAATCCAACTGTATGTAAAGTTTTTAATTATTTTTGTAACACCGTTTATTGGCAACATGAGGGAAATAGTACTCACAGGATGACTTAAAGGATAAAATTTTAGAAATAACATTATGATATCTGGCTTCATCTTCAGAATTAAGTATTAAGTAAATGGGTGCTTTTGAATGATAACATTTTAGGTAGCTACATAAAATATTTTAGGTAGGTACATAACTGTAATACTTATAAATGCAAAAATTTGAGTGTCACTGCAAACACTTATCTATAAAAAGCTCAGCCCATAACAAAATGTGATGACAGCAAAGCATGTACATTCACTTATCCCTCTATGTGAAATTCTAATAAAAAATTTATTGCCTCATCCTATTTATTCTTTTCTTAAATGAAAACTGCTCTTGCAACTAACTGCACAGTGATTTTTTTTGCCCCACAAGGGTTGACTTATACATTTTACCTCAGATCCATCAACTTTTGGTGGCTTAGCTTGAACTTGTTTCTTCTCTCTCGACGTGTCAGATTGGGATTCCGATTGACTGCCTGACTCTGATCCAGAGTCAGAGTCGCTGCTACCTGACTGGCTGCTGCTTCCATTACTGCTGCTTCCAGAGCTTGAACCAGATCCAGAACCCGATGCTGACCCAGAATCATCATCCGATCGGCTGCAATTAGAAGACAGCAGGATATTACACAACAGCTAATGTAACAGATTAAAAAAAAAAAGTCACAGAGAGACTTTAGCTTTGCCTAAAATCAATTGCACAAGCATTTAGTGCAAACATATGGGAAACATACAACCAGATGCAATGGCTTAAGTCAGGCAAGAATAAGAATTTAGAGCTAAATTACAATTATATTCACTTGAGTTGCAAATATTTAAAAATCTCAAGAAAGATAATGTCAATATGCAAAACTATAAACCCCTAAAGGGGACATCAAAATCCAGATCATTGCCCGCACAAATCACTGCGACAGGAGGGAGGAGGTAGCAGATTGTTCATCCTTTGCCCTAGAAAACAATTAACAACAATTGACGAATTACCTGCTGATGCTAAACCCAATAAAATAGCCATCCAAATTAACACAAATATGTGAAACCACACTGAGTTTCTACCTGTACCACCTCTTACATACAGCACATTCTTGGAGGTCTTGATGCAACTGCAGCACATGCAAAAAAACAGGTAAGATGAAGAGCTCTGACTTCATCTCTACTGCAGTGTGCCTGTACCTACCTGGTCACTGGCCGCAGGATGACCAGCAGCGTAATCCCTGAGGATTCCTGGCACCCATTTCATTTACCAAATGTTCTCACTGCAAGAAGTCACTTTCTAGCTCGAGCTTCAGCAGAAATTTGACTTGCAACCCCTAAAGGCAGTACTCTAATACCAAAGCCTAATTGATCTGAACCAACAGTAGGAGTGCTGGGGAGCCCAAGGCAAAACACAGGCCATACAGGAGATTTTACACCACAGACGTTTCATTTACAGATTAAAAAAAAAAAGCATTATTTTTAAACACTGGAGAAAATTACATTTTGTTTTTTAGCATGGGGATTGCTGGATCCTAAGGACCAATATAGAACAAGTTTATGTCAAAGCTAATTATTAGCTGTCATATAATTCTAGGTGCAGATTGTGTCCTTGCTTTTCCTACACTTAGGACAATTTTTTTTTTAAACATTTCTAATAATATATTTTTTTCCACACAAAGTGCAACCCTGATATGTCAAATTTTCAAACCATGACATTCAATCAAGTCTTCAAAAACTATGGCATTGGCATCTCCCATTTTCCAATGATTTTGTACCACGGGTGGTAAGAAAGGATTGAAAAACAAAACAAACAAACCCAGAAGGCTCCTAGCTTAGCCATTCCCTCTATCAAATTATCTGCCTCTGCTATCTCACAAAATTTATTTTTTAAGCTGTATAATGGAAAATATAATGAAATAGTCATATGCTAAGCAAGGTATTTGGAGATGCCAGCAATTACGTGAAAAACTCTGCATCAACACCACACACAAGTGTATCTTGCCTAATAGGACTATTTACTCAAACAAAAGTTGAAGGAACTTTTTAGCAAAAGACATTTCTTAATTACCTTCAAAGGTAACTACCTATATGACATGCAGACAAACTTGGGCACTAACATTTCTTTTTTTGTTTTTGTTAACCTCTCACGAGGAACAGTTTAAGGTGCATATCAGGCTAGGCCACCAGGCTGCAGCATCTACTTCTGAGATAAAGCCATGCCTTTCCTATTTTTGAAGTACTCTTAAGAAAGCAGCAACAACAAAGTAAGAATACAGAACTTTCTAACTTTCTAAAACTAAGAAATCAAAATACGCAAAAATTTGCTTGGAACAAGGAAAGAAAAGTTTTCTAATGAGAAGAATGAAAAATTGTTTTCCCCCTCACACCAAAATCAAAAAGGAAAGCATGTCTGCAGCACTCTAGCCACGTCCCTTAAGCAGCACCCATAATGAAAACCTAGGGTATTAAAGACTCCTCCTTACTGAAATGCTATTGTAGTAATAGCTTCCAGCCTTGACTTCTGTTCAACATAGATACTGACAACTTGCTACCCCAAGCCAATACACCATGCCCTTCGAGAACTTGCCTTTGCAGATAGAGTCACTAGGACATATCTATACTGGGCTTTTTTGGTTATTTCACTTGTTAAATGTTGAGGAGGTCACTACTGCACAAGGAATCACTGCTGCTCAGCATCACTTGCGCAGGGCCCATGTTCACCCTGCCTTGAGACTTAACCTAAGTAATATGAAGAATGGCAGGATTTAACTGAAGGCTGACCATCCTCCAAGATGCCATTTTTTTTTAGCTGCAGAATAAGCTAGGGATGCTTATTCCTTGAAGAAAAATAGGCACACACCGCCCCCCCCCCACAAACATACACATTTTACTGAGAACACAAAACTACTGGCACATTAAAGGGTAAAAAGTCATCTCCTTGCAAATGAAATGGAAAGGAAAAAGCAACTTCAAATTTTCACTTTAAACACTCCTACATTTGCTCTGAATTTCAGCAATTTTCACAGAAGTGGAAAGAATCTCAGCAGCAAAGTAAGCTTTTACTGCTGAAGCCAAGCACCCTGAAAACAGTCTTAGTCCTCCAACAACACATCCACCTGCTGCTGAGGGATCTTCTACAGCAGTAACTTATTCTGACATTGCCATTGCTGCCCTCTCCAGCCTTCCCCCAGCACAGCACTCCCTCCATGGTGTCAGTACAGTCTGTAAAGACAACAGATTAATCCTGACACCAAAGTAGAGGATGGCACAGGCCAATGCAGAACCAGAAAAATTGACTAGACTTCAAATTATTTTTTGGTTGTTGCTTTTGATATTCGTACACACATTGCATCACGAGAGACTGCAGGCGTTTTTCCAAGTGCTTAGAACTCTGTACAGCCTAATCCCTTTCCCTCTTTCTGCACAGAGCATTACTAACATGACTAAGAAAGAGCAACACTGTGCAGAACTTCTATTATAGCGCAGCACCTCGCAGCATCACTGAAAGCTCAGAAAGCTCATTTGCCTACACTTTAAAAACTCTATATAGAGATTTTTGAAATTCACAGGAAAAGACACAGGGTGCAGAAGTTTTATACAGATTTCTAGCAGCCCAGATGTCATTTGCTTCATGTGCTAAAATGAATACTGCAATAGTCAGCTACTACAGGATAAAAACAATGAGGATCAGCTTCAGGAAAGTTTACATGTTTTGAACTTGAAAGACAAGTGACCTCTCACTTTAGCAAGTTGTATCCTGACATGCCGTAAGTAGCTTAATTTCTTTTTCTGAAATGGAAAAGGAGATACAATCTAAGAAAATAGTGCATGTTTTCTAAAAATAACCATTGCAAGCTATCACTGCTAACCAAACTGCAAGTGAGTGCGCTGCATCAAAATTTGACTTTTAAAATACTCCACTAAAAGCAAAAAAAAAATCCTGCACAATAGCAAGGCAGCATACTTCAAAGGCAGCACAAGACTTCATTCTCATTTAACTATTTACCTGTGTTTGTCAAGTTACCCTATCGCACTTTGTCACGTTTCCCTTACTCTGTTCCTGCATTGCTGTCCTCTTCCAATCATCTCTATCCTGTGTTCTTACTGTTGCTCGCCCCTCCCTTCTTCACTGAGGGCTTCCAAAAAAAAAAAAAAAATATCAACGTAAGTTATAAGCACTATCAAGACTAGAATAGGAACTATAGATGGAAAACAATGGGACACAAGTTAAGCTACAGAACTGAGATGTTGTTAACATGAAGTACACAGAAAGAGAATTTTCAGCATGAATATCAGCTATCAAAGAGCATCCAGGCTCTTTTAAGCACGTCACCCTATTACTCCAAACAAAAATCCTGCTCAAGTCCCTCTTTCAAAAATGCATCATATTAGCCTACTTCCTGTGCTCCAAAAAAATATTTACTTAAAAAAAGGAAAATTAAAACAGCATTATTTGTACTTTGTATAACGTACTTTGTTCATCTGAAAAGAATCTCAACAAAGGCAAGCATGTGTGAGATGAAACAGCACAGCCCAGTTCCAGGAGCACCACCAAATCAAGGGTGATGGATACAGCAACAATAACATCCTCAGTTCTGCGGGAGCAGAACTATTTCTCTACCATGGAAACAACCACTGCAGTGAGGACAAAGTTGCCTGACAGGGCTCCCTTCCAGCAGTAGGCACACAGCAGTGTGTACTAAGAATGAAGAGCATCTTCTCAGATGGGACTGCTATATCAAAGTATAGTTTCATGTATGTGGGCAGATGAAAGTAAAGGTGACAGTATCTTCCAGGATATTCAGTAGAAGAGCCTCTCAGCCCTTGTCCTTGAACCAAGTAGCTGCATTTATACAGCAGCGTATGGGCAACCTGATTTGGTATGCAAGTATGACACTGCTGACAGATTTGTTAGTGCTGCATTTCATAACCACTGCTTTTGGCTATTCTCACTATATTCAAGAGCAATTCAAGAGAGATCCTTGAAGGCAGTATTTATTTTCAGATTATTCTGCAAAAAAAATAAAAGCAAGGTGAAAGAAGTAGTTTGAGTTTGTTCATACCTGTTGATATTTCAAACCCTGATAAATACCTGTAGAATAAAGTCAGAGTATGCTTTGAGGAGACAACAGAAGATATACTTTAAGAAAAACGTCACTGATAATGAATCAGATTGAAAGCCAGTACTCTGTCAGTCACTAGTTCTTTACCAGAGTTTTTGGTTAAACTTCACTAGTTTACCTCACAAAAAAATGTCCCTAATAGAACCACACAATGAGGAATAGTCACCTAATGTATCCAAGGCACCAGGCAGGGAAATTCCAAGATAGAAAGCTACACAAACTATGCTGCAAGAGCCTGCTGGAGCATTTAGACTCCTGCCTTCCATCATCATAAATTGGCGTGTGATTTACTCCTACCAAAGTTTAGTGGTCTCAGTGATGAATCCCTCCCTTGGTCATAAGTCACCCTTAAATGATGTTTAAAAAAAGGAGAGGACAATTTATCTTTGCTGATTTTAGACTACATTCATTCCATTAAGCTGCCTTAAAAACCTCCTGTTTTAAAAATGGCAGGAAACTTAATTCAACCAAAAGCTCAACTCACAAACAGTAATAAATAAATAAT